GGATTTAGGGGTTTAGGGTTATGGGTTTAAGGTCCCGTTTTTGAGGGGGTGATGGCCTCGCGCGCCCAAACAGAATCCTAGGCCTTTAACAGTGTGCCCACCGCACTCATGTGTGTGTATATACATAGATATGTACATATCCGATCCCTATTCAGGACCCTCTATAGTCCTATATGTCGGTGTAGCTGTTTCCAGGGAGCACCCAAGAGCAAGCTAGGTACCGTTATCAAGCAACATCAAAAAACACAGGGGGCGGAGGTCGATAAGCGAAAAGAACTTGAAAAGAACTTGAAAAAACTTGCTAGGGCTCACGCCCCCCCCCTCTAATAGTGAAAAGAACTTGAAAAGCACGTTCATTAGGGTACCCCCCACCCCTTCAGCTCTTTTTAGCGGACCCCGTATCGACATCAAAATAATGGACACGCGCCATAAACAAACCCTCAACCTCACGCGTAAAAGTGACCTCCCTGTCTTTGCTGCGCTGGCATCCCATTTCGTTCTTGAGTTCTGGAACTCTTCTGAAGCTCTTGCAATACCCTGCGTGGCTGCACTTTCAGGGCCACCTTTGGGGCACTGTGCACCACAGTCTGAAAGCTAAGCCTTTCCCGTCAATTGACGAATCGGGGCTCAAGCTCAAGCGCTGCATGAAGACTTGGGGGGGCCGAAGCTTGCCGAGGGCTTCATGAGGGGGGTCCAAAAATTACCCCATTGCTCTTGGAGTGCTTAAGACATGAAAACTCCGTCGCCAAAAACACCTTGCCTAAGCAAGTTCGGGCACGCTTGCAAGTTCTCCGTCTAAAGAACACCTCTCGACTCAGGTGACACTTGGCAACACTGGCGGCAATCCCGAAAGCTTGATCTGCTCGTTGATGTTTCTCAACACATAAGATATATGAGGATCAAGAAGTGGGACTACAGGGTCCCTTTTAGAGATCAGAGAGCATCTTTGGAGAAACTCGCTTGTCCTCCACAAAGCCCTTCAACCGGCTGCGCTCTTCGGCAGCTTTGAGGACGATGCACCATGCCGACTGTAGCCAAAAGGCCTGCATTTGGTGGAACTTGTCCGCCCCATGGGCACGAACCTTGGCCACAAACAAATCGCAGAAGGCATGGACGTCGCCCTGGGAGCCGACGTTGACAAGGATCCACGGCGTCCGCCCCGTCGATGACTGCCAACATGGAGTTCGGCTCCCACTCTTTGTCCTCCACTGCGTGGATCTCCCTTTATGGGATTAAAGCTGATTAAGGCTTCAAGCCTTACACCACGTTCCTTCATTTCAAAGAGAACAGCTTCAGAACATAAGCTACGACGGCTGAACCCAACATCTGCGGAACAGAATTGAAAATACATTGCAAGCCCAACGTGCCCCAGGAATATCTAACTGTAAGCTCGCAACCTGCCTGGCCTGAAGATTGAAGCACTAAGCTGAACACTCAGCTTTAATCATAGCCGTTCCAGTCCCCAAAGCACAGTATTTTCGCATCCCTCTTGCCAGGGCACTCCTGGAAACGCCGGAGAATCTGCAATATCAGTGAACGGTGCGGCAAGGTGTAGCTGCAAGCGCACGCGATGGCATGCGCACGAGATTGCAAGAGGGGACGCGGTGCTCTTGATCTAACGCAAAGAACTTCAGTATACAAGAAACTTCGAAACTCAACAGAACTTCATTAGACATAAGACATCACACAGGCAAAAAAGCTGCAGGGTAGAACATGGGTCCTAGAGCCTTGAGGCCTATTGCTTTGAATGCCACTCTGGACGTGGTACAGCATGAGATGCTTGAGCCCAGAGAAAAAGATCAAAGAGATGATGATCTGGGTTAATGTTCGGGGTTTAGGTTGATTATGCTTGGGCTTTCAAATCATCTTAAGCAGTGGATGCAAGGCAATTCTCTGTGGTTCTGACCGCCTTCTCCAAAGACATTATTTTTCGGCTTATTGCAAACCTGAGCAAAGCCGTCATTCAACTGTGTATTAGAGATTTCAACCATCGAGTGAGTCCGGAACAGTTCTTGACCACGGCACCGAAAAAGCCTTGAGCAAACATGCTGCACATGTTCCAGCCTCCACAACGAGTTGTCGTCCGACAGCTGTGGCTTCATCCACGCGAGTGGGAGCCTAGCATTCAGTTTCCGCGTAGAAAGCTTCATCATCGTTTCCAGTTCACTTCAATCAAGTAATCAAACCCGAAAACTGGCAGAATGGTGTCCTACCTAGACATGTCCAACCTGTCAACTGCCCTTCCCTGCCTCGAGGGCAACAGCAGAAAGCTGCGCCTGGCATTGGCAGCGTATTCATACACCATCCAGCCAGGCATTTTTGGTGTGAAGGACGTGAGAGTGAAAGAAAGTTGGTTGCGAAAGTCGCGTCACTACATCATAGAGTGCAACCATCTGCAACATGCAACAATCAACGTGACAGCAAGGCATGCCCACGCCAAGACCGTCCGCGGCGTGGTCGCCACAGGCGCCGGATGCCAGGACTGCCAATGATGTTTGGATGGCTGTACCCCTTCTCACTTGTCCTTTGGGCTAGTCGAACCTGCAGCGATACCCAACAAGGGAATCCAGGCCAGCTTCCCCTCCAGGCATCTGAGTCCGAGTCAGTAAAACCAAAAAAAAAACAGTGCAGCGTGACGCAGAGCTTTTCTGCCATTGAACGAGAAGCGTCCAATTCAGCTTCCAGACCTCCCAACCCTCAGGCCTACCACATGCCTTTCAAGGGAAAAAACCAAGCGGGGCCTTTTCTGCAATCTTTCAGGCTGGATCCTCCCAGAGTGCCGAGGAGCCCTGGGAGCTCAACCAAAGACCTCTTAGAGAACCTGATCTGCCACGATGGGTTAGCCATCTAGAAGTGTGCGGCCAAGCTTTTCACGCATCCTTCGCAAGCAAGCCTATTTTGTCCTAAAGTGCTTCGAACGTCCCCCCACACAAGGCCTAAATTTGTTTTAGCGAAATACCCAGCCAGATTTGTCGTCAGCTCACATGACCCGGAGCGAGATAAATCCACGACAGGCCCTTCAGCCCAGATCGTCCCCGAGGAATATGCAACTTTTAAAGAGAAGCCTCATGCCCCGAAGAGCAGTCAATGGGTGGTTTTCGGGTGGGCAAGTCTGCAAACTAACGCGCGATCACACAGCGCGCTTCTGTTTGGCATGCCCCTGAACCCCAAACCCTAAACCCTAGTAGGATTGATGATAGTGGCAGTTGTACCCCTTTTGGCCTCGCCACCAGGCCAGCGAGTCCAAAGCCTTCCAGGCTCCACTGAGTGCCTGCAGGTGACAGCAAATGGTGGAACTGTCATGCGAAGGCTTTGGTGGGCCTCTGGCAGCTTTGCGTGGGGAGACCGGCGCACCTGGTCTTACTTAATATGCTATATAGTACATTTCGTAGCATATTATAAGATATATCATATTAATATAATGTAAAGTTGTCTATGCACTGAAAGACAGCTCTGCTCCAGTCTAAGGCCTGTCTCCCTTCCTTTGCCCGTCCCTTCTCTGCAGGGGTTTAGAAATTCTGGGCACTGGCACGGCTTGGGCTACTTGGGCTCGCAGGCAATGAAAGAGGCAACCTCAGATGGACGTCCAAGTCTCAGGATGCCGAGGTTGAAGGCAACATCGTGACTACTGGTGCGGACAAACATGGACGCGACTTGGAACATGGAAACCTGCACCTAAGTGCAAGCCTAACCCATATAGTCCTGCCCAGCGGCACGAGCTCGCCGCCAGCACGCCCCGGGACGCCCGGCACGAGCAACGCCATGGCGTGAGATGGGACTTCAGAAGTTGCGAAACATGTCCAGTTCAGGCTAGCTATGATTGGAATGTGGTTAGCATAATGGTCTCTGTGCTCCTACGACCTCTAGTCAAACCCATCCAGCTTCAGGCTGTACATTGTAAGGACGGCAAGCCAGTATGGTCGGAGCGAGATGCCTGCCTCGTACTAGGTGGTTTCAGCCTTCAGCACTTTCAGAATTTCAAGGCTGCCCAGGCATCCAGAAAAAGCCGATGGCTTCACATCCAACCTCACCCTCGGCCCAAACCAGAAAACCCAGTCACCACCCTGGGGAGTGTCCTCCTCTTGCATCGCTTCAAGGTCCTGACAATCTGAGGCAGCAGCATATTCACGAATCGTGCCATGTGGAGTGGACCATGACTTCCAGAGCAGGATCCTTTATAGAAATGAGCTCAGGAACCGCCTTTGATGCAAGATGATGACCTTCACGAATAGGGCGGGGTTTGGGGCCCCTGCAACGTGTGGCTGACATCGGAACGTGCTTTCGGATTGCTTTCTGAAACAGATCAGGGATGGCTGGCAACAATATGGGACTGCATATGAGGCCCTTCACAGCACTAGTCTGTACTGCCGCCGCGCTCACACCTGCCTTGCCGAACCTTCTAGCATCTGTTCGCCAGGGTTGCTGCATGAGGCAGAAATCAAGCTGCAACACCTGAATTCATTAGGTCTGTGACTTTCAACACAAGAAGGGTTATACCAGCACTGGTTAATGCGTTTTTTTCACGAACAACGTTTCTAGCCTCAAACAGTGGCACTGCAGGTGGACGAAGGGGATCAGCCTCTTCGGCCATCATGTGATTTGATCATTTACATTAACACAGAACCCGGCTCAGAGATCGTCGTCGCTGTCGTTGATCGGAACGTTCAGCGCTTCTGTCAGCTCCCTTGCAGCCCGCCTGCAAGACAAGATAAGAATGGTCTTGATTGATACAGGCCAAAGACTGGGCATCCGAATCTGCCATTCCAAACACAAACGCCAAGACCTGAACTCACCAGTCTGGCCTCTGCTCTGCCGCTGATGGCAAAGCCAGTTCTGGCGGTCGACTTCCAGGCTCTGGTATGAGCCTTTCAAAAGATTGCAGGCAGACTCGGAAGGATGGTATACTTGGAGTGACATATTCACATATGCTTCATGGAATTCTCATAAAATTTGATCGCGGACTCAGACAGCAAGATCTTGAAAGACCACCTCGGCAACAGGAGAACGAGCGACCAGAGTATTTAAAATCCAACCGAAATGGTTGACCCCAACAATGTCCTAGCAATGTTGATACCTGTTAGAGTACAAGATGGCAGCTCAGAAAAGGTCAGTCCACAGCAAGCATAAAAGGGTCACATCCTGCTCCTGTAAGAGTGTTGTCAGCATCACCATGTATAGTCTAGTGCGCCATGCTAACAACCGGCAACAATGAGGACGCTACAGAAAGCACTAAAACTCAGCACGATCGGCACAACCAGCCAACGAGGCGCTAGTGACTAGCCTGTCGCCAAAAAAAAAAGAGTAGCAACAGTGAGAGCAAGTATAGCCTGATGTTGCTGTCTCCCATCAGCCGCTTAGACAGAAAGAGCAGCGGAGCCTGAGAGCTTCGTTGTAGCAGTGACTCTTCAGCGCTGCCACATAAGAACATGAATTGTTCCTTTTGACATTCGTAGGCATGCTCCGCATTGCTGGATTCATCATTCACACAAAGAGTTTTTCTGCAAGGGGCCAATGAGTTTAGGGCAGGCTGCGCCTCTGCTGAGAGTGCAAGTGCGTCACATATGGACGTCGCAGCTCTGGTTCAATGGACAAGCAACAGCGGAACAGATACAACAATCCAAACCGTTGACGTCCTGAATGACCGGACGCTCTGAATGCTGAATGGCAATCCACGGCACTTCTGTGTTGAAGCGCGTCCGCCTCGAGGGCCAGACTTCCAGACAGGAAAACGTGGAAGGGCAACCACTTCCGCCCGGGTCCATATTCACGCTTTTCAACGTCAAGCGCATGCTGCCCATGAAACCACATCAGACAAGTTGCACACTCAGGTCGTAGTACTGAACCTGCGGACGGCCAGTGTGGGCAGCAATGTGAACAAAAATACCCTTCACAGGTGTCGCAGGAACGAGCGGACAGACGAGAGGATGGCAAGCAGGTTTCACTTGTCAAAGGCCCGAGCCCAAATATTCACACCGTACAAATGGCATTGACAAATGGTGTGACCAGGAGGATGGCCCTTTACTCCTCAAACTGCCGTGATCCCAGACTAGTCGACCAACCCACCTTGAGCTTCCGCATGATCAAGGAGCCTTCCTGTGCCTGGCAGCACCGTTCAAACACCCAGCGCTGGCTCCCAGATTGTTGCATCCACTGGCACCTTGACCACTCGGTTCGCAGCATCAACCTTGTTGCCAACGACCACCACTGGGATGTCACCGGCTACTTTCCTAGCCACAGGAATGCCCATAAAGAGCTTTACGGCCGTCATGAAGTAGCCCCCTTACAGTACAGAACTTCAAGGACTTCGAACAGATTGCGAGGGGCCCTAGGCGCCTGAGATCCATGACCCACTTGGACAGGTTTTGGTGGCTCTCTCGCTTGGTGACCTTGGCGTCCCAAACTCTTGGGCCTTAACCCTAAACCCTAAATAGTAGCTTCCGTTTTATTTTCTATTATCTCTATAACCCCTATACAACTCCTATATATAACCCTACATAATCCCTTTAAAAATCCCTATAACCCCTAAATTTTCGATTTTCTTTGCCATTCTCCCTAAATAACCCCAATAAAACCCCAACATTATACCCCATAACCTAAACCCCATAAAACCCTAAACCCTATGTAACCCCAATATACTAAATAGTAGTGTCCATTTTCTTTTCCATTTTACCCCTCTGGTCTGGTCTTTCGAGCGGAGCTCGAGCCCCTTAAGCCCCTGGCATCAAAGAAGACCAGGGCGCACTGAGCCCCTGAGAACGCTGTTAAGCGTTAGCTTATCAGTAGGGTTATATTAAGGTAATAGAGGTAATATTAGCGTTATGTTAGGGTTATATTATCAAGCTTTTACTGGGGGGTTATATTAGGGTTTAGCTTCTGTTAGGGATAATGAAAAAGAAAATGTAAGCCAGGGGGATTATGGGGATTGTATAAGAGTTATATAGGAGTTGTATAGGGGCTTTATAGTGATAATGGAAAATCAAAATGGAAACTACTATAACAGATTTGTTTACTAGGCCCCACAATAGATGCATGGAGCTCCTCGTACTTCACTCGGAGGTAATATTAAGGTAATATTAGTGCTATGTTAGGGTTATATTATCAAGCTTTTACTGGGGGGTTATATTAGGGTTTAGCTTCTGTTAGGGATAATGGAAAAGAAAATGGAAGCCATGGGGATTATGTGGATTGTATACGGATTATATAGATATGGGAGTTGTATAGGGGTTATACTGGGATAATGAAAAATGAAAAGGAAACTACTATTTAGGGCTATGTGTTGGATTGAGCTTATAATAGTGGGGAGGTTATAGAGTTTAGGGTTTTTGTTGGGAAGCGAATTTGGAATGCGTGCTGTGCCGGCTAGAATTCGACAAGTAACGTGGTCCTTTATCTGGCATCCTTCAGGAAAAGATTTGCAACGTCACAGCGCCAACAAGTTTGGTTCCATCTCTGACATTCCATGCCTCGAAACACTTGCTTGGCATGACTAGACTCATCCTCCGCGGCAGAGAAAAGCTCCATAACAAACACGACATGCAAGTGCAAGGCACCGATGAAGTAGCCATCTCGCAACCCAGCAAGATGATCCTGCGGATGCTGACAAGTGTTTGAGTGTCACAACAACGAATATGCTAGGCTTACTGGAGAACGACTTGAATGCATTCCAATGGACACAGTTTGGGCCTGCCCAGCCGTGTCCCAGACTTGAAAGACCACTGGACCTCTGCCTAGGCGTGAATCTTGGGCTATTAGTGACCATGGCGGATTTTCGGCGATGATGCTTTGCTTTTGTTGTCATCATCCTGCTCTCTGTTGTGCTTTTCGCGATCTGCCTGATATCCGTAACACCAAACGTACCATCATTTTGTAGTATACCGCTGCCGATGATAAATGACGACGATGATGTGAGGGTCCAATGAGACTGAACAGCAACCACAGACATCACAGGAAATAAGGGGGGGTGGGTGTTGAGGAGGGCGGTGTAATGTGGGAGGTCATGTTTCCCGAATGGAGCCTTTAACCTTTAAGAAGACTTAAACCTACCCTGTAAGCCCTTACAAGGGAACAAAACCCCCGTGCTAAGTGATTTGAATGGGATCACAGCTCCAAAGTCAACAACTACGACAGCACAATCGATGCCGAAAGGGACCTGACTGCCGTCCTTCCGGACACGGACGAATTTTGAAACCAAGCATAACGCTGCAAGCAAACTCCTGAATCCGCAAACTATCTGCCGTCAGGACGCTGGTCATGAACTTCAGCTTCTTCATCTCGCAGCCCTCAAACGCACATCCAGGCTGCACACAGTCAGGTCTTCAGAGCAGTGGGTTGGGGAGTGGTTGAGACAGCTACACAGCTTGGAATCAAAAGCAAGTGGTTGCTTCAGATTTCACTATATCACCAAAAGCCTCTGTCGGCCGGTACTTCTTCACGAACTCCCCTGTAAGGTGTCGCTTGACCTGAGGTGCCCTGCTCATGCAAGTTGCACCGGAGATCTAACTGCCCAGACTCCTAAGGACTCGTCTTGCTGAGGCTATCATGTTCTTCACCGCCTCCGCCACTCTCAAATGAACTCAGGGCCCGGCAAAAGACGTCTTGCCCACTCCAGCGTCACCCAGGAGTACGAGCTTGTACTGGCCGGAATGTTTCTTGTGGTCGGTTGGGGGCACAAGACTCCACCTGTTTGAGAACTCTCTTCCGGCCTCGGCCACGGGCGCGGGAACCGCACTGGCCTGGTCTTGCCACTTGCCACACCCAACAAAGCAGCAAGTAAGAAGAAACCTTGCGCGGCCATATCTGGAAGTCACAACTTGGGAACTACAGGCCTGTGAAGTGTTCGTGGCGAGAGCCTCCACCAGCTACATGCCAACACGTAGCGCTGCAGGACGTGGACAGCAGAAACCCTGCCTGCAGAGGTCGGTTGTCAAGGCCCGTCCTTAGCTGGTACAGCTTCCGACCCAAGACACCGGGTTGCTATGTTGGTACACAGAAAGGATTTGCAACAGTCACCCAGCATCTGCACCGCCAGTCTAAACAGAAACAAGCATATAGGTTTATCTTGCTCGCATACAGTGCGTTCCATCTTGGATTCTTGGATCGCTCCAGATGTTTCCGCAGATTTGGAATGATTTGGACAACGGTGGGTGCGAGCATTTCTCCGTGCCAAGCTGCGACCGGGCTCGCTTCGCCGGTGGCACCTCCGGCGTGGCAGACTCCGCGGGCCTCTCCCCACCAAGGAGCTGCGTTCTTGCGCAGAACAAGTGTTAAGGCTGTGTCTCGGCCGCTCGCTGGCGTGCAGCACTTCAAACATCAAAGGGCAAACGAAGACCAGGAGATTCCGCGTGACGTGTAGGTTCAGCATTCTCTACAACCTGGCCTCTTGCTGGCGAAGCTCTGCACCAGGCCCCATAGACGTGAGATCATTGGACCAGAGTCTGGAAGAGGAAGAAGCCAGCTCTCAGTACAAATTATCAATGACTTGAGTCAAGATGAAGGGCTTTGGAGCTCTGAGTATCTTGAAAACATTGCCTCATAGCCACATCTTGTACTTGCAAAGTTTCCCGTTTGGGATGAGAAGCTGCAGATTCGCACAACCAGGATCAAATGTAGCTTGGATTTCAATGAGGAGTGTCCTTGCTGCCTCATTGTGACATTGGCGCAAACTTACAGACCCTAGTGCTAGTAGAAATTCAAAGGTTGCATGGTTGTCACCATTTGGATGCTGCATTTGTCATCCCAATCCTTACCGCCCAAAGCGAGTCTCCTCCCCGGTGCTTGAGTGGAGGAGACGTGCCATAGCCAGCATGGTGGACTCGGCGACCGCCTTCAAGCAGGAACTTCACTGGTTGTCAGTCTGTGGCCGATGCTGATGCTGCGAATTGAGGTACGGTGCAAACAGCAGTGGCAATTGAAAGGCATTACACAATACTAGTAGTAATACAGAAGAGGTGAATAACAGTAGCAATAATAACAAAAATGCGTCCAGAACCCGAGGTTTGTCGCCGCCAATCCCAAAAACTAACTGACAGACGCGTCAAGCTTCCTGTTGGGAACTGTTTCTTTGCAACAGCCACTGGCTTGACTTCGGGTTGAAAAATGCATGCGGGAACACATCCAGGTCACCTCTAAAGCCAGCTCATCTAAAAGCCGACAGGCAACACAGACTGCAGGTCACAACTTCTGTGCAAGGTCGCAGCATCGTATGCTGTACAGGGAGCGAACCCCTGAAGCGGCAACATATGATGAGAGCCAACCCATCTGTCATATCGCGCAAAGGCAGCATGATGAGGCGCTACAGTCTTCACTTATGTGTCGAAAGCGTGACTCGCCCAACATGTCAAAAACCAAGTTGTGGGGTACAATTCCATATTTCCAACCTGCAAATCCTGAATCCTTACTTTGACATTGTGTGCCAAAGCACATGTTGCTGTCCATCCAGTACGTCACTGTCCCCCCCCCCACCACCCCACCCCCGCACCCTCCCCAACCCAACCAAAAAGCAGCTTCTCGTGCCAAGAGCGGCCCAAATAATCCGGATGCTACTTTGACGGCGAACGTGGGGTCTGGGGGTAATAATAGTAAGAATAACAATAACAATGATAATAACAATAACCTTTTTAATCCTTATTCCCTGTAAGACCCCTAGATTACCCCAGATCATACCCCAGCACCCCTACATGGTCCCTGTAAAACCCTGAACCCTAAACCCTCTAAACCCTAACCCTAAACACCAAACCCTAAAACCTGAACCCCAAACCCTAAACCCCAAACCCTGAACCCTAAAGCCTAGACCCCTATCTGTCTTTGCGGCGGGCACCCGGGCGCCTTCTGGGCCGACTCTGCTGCCGCCAGCTTGGACTGGGGATACGCACTTTTGGCACCATGCAATAGCAATAATATTATTACTATTACGTAATAGTAATAATAATAATGATAGCATGAATATTCCTAATGGGAATAATAGCAACTACCAGTAACAATCATAACAATAGTAATGGTAAGAGGCTGACGTTTCGAACGTGCAGCAACTTTCAACAGCCGTGCAGGTAATCAATTGATTGGGTTCATCAATCCCGGCCACACAAGTCTGTAGAAGCAAGACCCCCTGCTCTGCAGGAAACACCTAGCCGCCAAAAGCAAACAATAATATTCATAGCATTAATACCAGTAGTAGTAATAGTCGTTGCATAATAATAAAAAAATGACAGCAATAATAAAAGTGGTACCAAAAATATTAGTAACGATAACACTAATGGTAATAGTAAGGATAATAAGCCCACTCTGAGGCACCGGCCAAGTCTGTCCAGCAGCTGGATAGGTCCACAAACGGCCTTGGCTACGTTGCAAGCGCCAATTTTAGGCGTATACTGAGATAATGGAAAAGAAAATGAAAGCCATGGGATAATAGGGATTATATAGGGGTTATATAGGAGTTGTATAGGGGTTATACTGGCGTAATGAAAAATAAAGCAAACTACTATCTAGGGTTGAGGTTCATGGGGCTCGAAAGACTTCGTCTTGGAGATGGCTGAGGAAGTCTCCCTCGCTTGTACTCGACGGCAGTTTGTGCTGGGAATCTCAATTTTTCCACGGGAACCAACATTGCTGTCTTTACATGTCCTTATGACCCACAGGATGCACAAAGATCTGGTGTTGGTCCAGGACGCTTTGGAAGCACAGCCATCGCTGACACGGCCCGCACAAGATACAGGCTTCAATACGATTCTCAGGCTCAGGTTGTTATGTTCCTTTGCTTCGAGGCATCTGCAGTCACAATAAGGAGGGAGATTTAGGTCGTACGGCTGCCATAGCAGTTGCTGTCCTGACGCATTTTTTCACAACGACGTATTATCATACCTCGTATGATTGCTAGAATTGCCACCTTAAACGAGGGGGCGGGGGGGCGGGCGTAGATCCATTGCTGGTTGAATCCCACAATTTGGCTCTTAGAGCATTTTGGCTGTCGGACATGCGGGTACCTCAAAACAGGCACAACAGACTCCGCTCGCGAGGGGGAGGCAACCACCTGACTATTGCTGGCTTGTGGAACACCACACCACCAATCCCCGACCCTAGGCCCTGTGGTCATATCTCTTCTTCTAGGCTGTGTGAGCAGACCTCTCGGTGTGTCAAGTATCCTCTGGGCTTCTAATCCTCAAGATGAAACCAACTTAGCAGAGCTTAGGAGACCCTGTGGCCTCTTTGGGTCTAGGTTTCAAGGTTCTGGAATGGAAAAAAAGATGGAAACTACTGCATCAGTTAGGGTTTAGGGCTTAGGTTTAGTGGCTTTGGGCTTCAGGGTTCTGGCCCAACTGTATTGAGCCCTCAACCAAATGAGCTATTTATAGTCTAAATTCCTAGCATCCCCCTTCATAACCCCTAAAACACTTCCCTATATCATCCCCTGTGTAACCCCCCTTTCAGGAGATTAGACTATAGCTGAAGTACCCCTCAGATTTGCAATTTCCATGCTAACGGTCCATTGGGGTTTGCAAGCCTCAACAACCAAACTCCTTGTCAGTAGTTAGTTGGCCAGCGCTGAGATAAGGTGCCACGTGGAGCCGACAGCTCAGGGCGGGGTTCAGGAACATTCGAGTTTACTTGGAGTTTATGGCTTTGAGTTGGGATCTTTTGTTTGATTTGTGAGCATATGAAATGAACATAGCTCAGCGAAGAAACCAAGGAACGAAGGAATGAAATTGAACCGCTAAACCTCTGTCATCTAGGAATCTAGGGGTATATCTGGATGGGAATGTTGAAATTCTGCAACTGATTAGGGTTACTCACCAAGCCTGATGCTAGAAGTCATAGCTCCTAGGATGCTACATTCATAAGTTGTATCTGATTGTATCTTTTGGGCTCGTCAGATTCGCCGTGAGCCATAGATTAGAATAACATTACATACATCATCCTCGTGATTCCTCCTATCATGCGTGTTCGGCTCTTTCTTTCGCTTCGCTTGTTCATTCACTTCTTTAGAGTTAGGAGAGAATGAAATACTGGAAAACTATTCAGCAAAGACAGGAATGCAGGCTAGGTATCCTTTGTTGATCATGTTCATCTCTTTTCCTTTTTTGCGGCTTGCGGCCGGGAAAGCGTCAGAGCTGTACTGCCAGAGCCTTTGGGACCCGGAGAAAAATCATGGCTCCACAAAAACCTTCCTAAGAAGTATCAGTGCAAACTGCCGCTGGCGTGCAAAAGTGTTAATGCAAGTTTTTGAAACTGCTCCTTTCATGTGCTTGTTCTGGAGATCATTTGGCAAAGTTTGGTCAAGCTATGTTGACGAGATCAAACAATGACCACAATTTCAAAACTGACCCAAAACATCAGTCAATACCAATGGCTGCAACCTGACACCCCTGAAACCAGGAAGAGCTAACAGGTTTAGGGGCTTAATTGTGGTAAGTTTCCCAGAGACTCTCGCAGCTCCTGTTTGGCAGGCACAATCTCTGACGCCATTTGCGGTGCTGTGGTCATGTCTGCGGAATCGTTACTACCATCACTTTTTCCACAACATCTTTGACATGTGCAGGAATGGAACTTGTGTGACTAATTTGAGTACTGATCTTGGCGTCAGCTGTTGTTTCTCTTGCTGCACGGGGCGTGGGCGTCAGTTCAGTCAGCGGCCTTTCGCGCCCTGCGGAAAAGTGGAGATCTCAGTCATCGCCTTTCTCCTGAACACGGTTTCAGTAAGACAAGCTTGATCGAAGGATTCCGGAATCCACAGGCCTCGTCCTTTGGCTTCTTCAGGCCAGGCTTCTCAGTTGGGACAAACGGCCCGGCACGCTCCACGATGGTCTGACACGAGCCCGGCTGGGATTCTCGAGGTTGGTGCGGCTGCATGCTACTGCTGGGAAATTCATCAGCTCAGGCCACTCTCATGCAATAAACGTCTAATTCTCTTTGTCCCAGTAAAGACGACTGAAGAATGTGCAATCCAACACCTCTTGACTAGTTTGTCTCGAGAAGTGAGTGCTGGTTGTGGCGCAAGCCCTTGCATGAGATCGGCCTTGAAGTCCATGGTGATGGGCTGCCGATCGGGAACAGGGTACTCACCTGAAAGCTACGCGAGCTGAAGCCGAGCACAACCTGTTTGCAGGTAAGGTTCCATCAGCTGCTGCAAACTCTCACTCGGAAAGCTTACTTCTTGTAGAAAAATGCGACGCCTCCTCCGGCCTTCACTTGCCTTGTGGAGTCGACGTCTCCCCTCAATTTTGGGCCTGGCCTGCTGGCGAAATTCTGCAATTCCTTCAGATGCAGCTCAGGCACGCCAGTTGGGGTCGTTGAGAGGTGGCTGACCTTCAACGCACAAGTCGCTCTCCTTTGAACAAAGCCAGGTTCACATGATCACAAATGAACTAGATGCAAGTCCAACCGTCGCGCTCCTATCTATCAATCCCTCACAGCTACCCATGCACCTCCAATTTGAAGCAAGCACTTGCAGATGTTTAAGCTGTATTCAGCAGTTACCAGAACTGCAAATCCAGTGCTCTTCAGGAACACCCTCTGCAAGGCTGAATCCCGCTGTGCCAAACATGCAAAATACTCCTCTCCAATAACTGAGGGGTCTGCGATACTTGATGTGAATCTCAGGCTTGATGCCATTGTCGTAGTTGGGCATGGGCTGGTCCTGGAGATGCAGATAATACAGGGGATAATATAGGGGATAACATTGTTGTTCTCTAGGGATAATGGAAAATAAAATGGATGCCATGGGGATTATAGGGATTGTATAAGGGTTATATAGGAGTTGTATAGGAGCTTTATAGGGATAATGGAAAATAAAAATGGAAACTACTATAACAGATGTGTTTACTAGGCCCCACAATAGATGCATGGAGCTCCTCGTACTTCACTCGGAGGTCATCCTTGGTAGGCTGCTTGGCATCAGCCTTCTGCAGGTGAGCCGGGATGGGGATGAAGGCCTGGGCGAGAGTGTGCCGTGGATCTATATTGAGTCTTCTCGTTATAGGACTTGTTGCCGGGGAGGACAGGTTTTTGACGGCTTGGGAGTGAGCAGGTCGAAGACCCAAAAAAACACAGAACATTCAGGGGAGACGTCTACTCCCGGCTCCGATTCTGGCAGTGGCAAGCGTAAAGCATACGCTGAAGGACTTAGACAGCCTCAAAGCGAATGTCACCATGCTTGGGCATGGATTGTCCAGGACACGGCCCCTATCATTTGGACGTCGTCTTCGTTTGGGCAGGGATGCTCTGGAATGTGGATGCACTTGCGGTCGGATGCTATTACTGTATGCATTGCGCACAGTTGCTTTGGGCATTGATGCGGCATCAAGTGTACCTTGACTGGACATGGCTTGCGTTTATTAACAATTGTCAGCAGTCTCGAAGCACGCTACAGGACACTAACAAGGGACGTTTACCCGTAGAAAGGGCCTTGCACTCAAACGCAATCACCACAGTAAAAGTCATTATCTGAACTCATGCACCTCACCGCAGGCTCCAAATGTATGAAAGCCTACCTCACAACATCATCGCTATGCCACACTTCACCTCTCCTTATTCACACAGAGTCCTCTGGCAAACGTGCCTCTACTCAACCTTCAAGCTATCGGAAGGTTGTAGCCTATGATGGCTAGGGCATGGGGCCAGGAAAATGCATGCAACACATTGCAACAACGTTTCGAGGCCCCTGCTGGCTGGGAATGGCGCAGCTCCTTCTCACCATAGAAGCCGTGCGCTCGCACGGAAATAGTGATGACCTGGTCCTGTGGGCAGCGTGCAGCTTGCTGCAAGAATACATAAAGCAACCTCACCCTTCAGGCTCGCAGCTCTCCTATATTCCAAAAATGCTGGCCACAAAGTCCTTTTCTTGGAAGCGGATGAAGCCTGGGTACTTCTCCGCCCACTCGTACCAAGGGATGGGCTCCTGCAGATTTCATGCTGAATTTAGCGAGGTAGTGTCGTACATCATGTTGGGGCAGCTTCTGGATAGCTCGTGTAGTCCAGAAGCGCGCACCTGTCTTGTTTTGGTAAGTTCCTGAACTTCTGAGAAGTCCTTGACTTGAATGGTCTTGTTGTTCATAACGGCAAACCTATGGGCATGTGCAACCATTGTCTGTTTAGTGTCACCCGGCTCTCCGGATCCATGAGATCTTCGCGTCCGATGATCTCCGCATGCCGCTTGGGGTCTGGAATCATGAATCCCTGCGGGATGTAGCCTCAGAATAGGCCAGTGGCAGGCATCCAACCTCCATCAGGAACCATGGATTCTACTTGAACCCAGGTAAGTTTTCTCCAGCTATCGGGAAGCTTAGGAAGCGGCCCTTACCACAAATCTCAGGCCCACGCTATCCAGCGAGGCTCCAGCAGATCCACCGCCCCTGGCCGCGTGTCAGTCAGTCACTCATCCTGCCAAACCCCAAGAACAGTCAGGGTATCAGAGTACAACTCAATCCACAGCAGCACGTATACTCTCACCTACACAATGCTGCAGTTCAAGAGTTTGCCAAGCCCATGGAAAGCCCTGGTCTGAAAGCCACATCTCACAATACGCCAACTACTGGCTGGAAGTTCTCAACTCCTGCAACTGGTCGCCTGCCGCGGCGCTGACGCATCTCTGCAGTGGGCTCCACAGCGCCTTGGAGGGGGTCCACAGTCCAACGTTCTGAAAGCAGCACTTCGGCTGACAAGGGCTGTCAATCAACCCTAGGCCATGCTGCCACGCCACTGACTGTGACACGGTTGTTCGAAGAGTCCACCTGCGCAATCCAGACCTGAAGAGAGGGAGTGCACCAAGACCTAAACAAAGGGAGTGCACAAATGCTAGTAGGAATGTCAATCTGAAGTGCAAAGCAAAGGGGAGTCGTGTAGGCAAGCGAGTGAAGCGTTAGACCTGCTACCTGCCATCTAGCGATTAACCTCTCGCAGCTGCGCTGTTTTCAAGGGATCACAGCAGATCTGCTTCGCAGCGAGACACTTCGAAATGACGATGACTGAGCCCTGCCCTGGCGCCTCAATCTTCTGGTTGGGCTTGAAAGCCGCGGAGGTCTGAGCTGCACTAAGCTGCTTTACTGTTACTACTGTTACTATACAATTGCTACCAGGAGTTTAGACTTAAACATCACAAGCAAAAGTGCGCAGCTGTTCTTCGGACGTGCAGGCTCAGGCCAGAGCAACATCACCCAACATGGAGTTTGGCATGAGAGCGTCAGTCCGCCCCAGCCCAATGTCCACGAAAATGCCGTACTCCTCAATACACATCAACCACCCGCATCTGAAGTACACCAAAGCATCAGAGTACTCTTGAGCTGCAACTTCTTCCCTGAATAGATGCCGAGAATGACCTGCTGAGAACCCTCGGCAAAAAAAGATGCAGTCCCGAATGCCCCGCACGACCTCAGCTACGCAAAGCTTCGGCCGCATGCAAAAATTGTCGGGAGCTTGAATTCTACTTGTCTCATGTTCACGCCATACTTCCACTTTGGCTCAGGTCAGCTCCCTGCCCCTTGTGTCCCAATACTTCTCAACCTGCCAGCGTTTGTCTAAGCCTGCGGCACCCGGGACCTTGGCACCAACCTCGCAATTAAAATTCCGAAGGAAGACGTTTTGCTATCTTGATCTACGGATGCTGGTGATTTTTGACGAGCTAGCGCTTCGCTTGTGGATCCGACAGCATGGACCGGCAAAGGACCAAGGTGCTTCAAGACTATCAGGAGGGCATCAAGTCTCCTGCATGCGAAATTCTGACAAGACAGGGACCTAGCTCTGGCATGATACGGGAGAGATCATTGGGGCATGCCCAGGATCCCTCCGCAGATTCCATTGGGAGCAACGCCCATCCCAGCTGAGGGCAGAACTTCGAGAGAATCGATCTCCAAACTTGCTCCGGAGGACATGCCACCAGATTTCTGGCCAACCTCGGTGAATCCACAAAGGGCTGGCTACTTCCGCCAGTAGACCCAAAGAAGGAAAAAGGCCGTTCCTGGCAGAGCATATCCTAAAGGCCCCTCACCTTCCATGACTACCGTACAGAAAAGATACAGCTGGAAACATCCGGGAAACTGGTGTCAAGCTTGCCAGCGTTTTCGGCACTAGACGCAACACAAGGATGAGAAATTCTAGTTCCCTCCCCTTGCCCAACTGTCCAAGAAATCCAAGCTTGGATCTGCCGCCATGGCTCTGAAATCAGGTTGCAAAGCCAAGGGGCAGCAATCTGGTTCTTCTGGATGTCCACTCGGCTAACCTTCAGATCATCCAGCACCTGAATTGAACACAACGCACTGCCGCAGGTTCTCCCAGTTCTACCTGGAGCTTGTACAGTAATTCATTTGCACATGCCGGAGGACAATAACCGCAGTTGACACTTTCCCTCTGAGACTGGTGCCTCTCCTTCAGAGTACCTTAGCCCCCAGATCGAGCAGCGCTTCAAAGGTGGTGCTAAAGTGTTGGCCTTGAGGAGAGCTCTTACGTTGCAAATTTCGGGGACATGCAGTGCTGCGGTGCTGGCCAGATGCTCGCCGGTATCCTTGGCAAGCATCCCAGTTGGAAGCAAGGCATCCACGGACCTAGGCGAGTTTAGGTCTGTGGCCTGTGCCCTGTGCCCTGTGCTTGGATGGCTGGAGACTCGGTGTGCTGAAACGGATCCTGTTCACAGCTTCTGGGCTTGCTTACGCACCGATGTCCACAAACAGGCCAAAGTCCATGATCTTTGAGACCTGGCATCAGTCGGGCAAAGCAGTGCCAAACAAAATGCTCCCCCAGTTACAGGTTCACTCCGACTCGTCAGCTACCGCTGGACTCGGGACTCTTTATGACTTAGCAGGCGGGAGGCAAATCAGCGGCTGGACTTTGCTGAAGGCTCGTGTGGAACAGACTTGAGAGCCATGGGCTGGGACGAAAGCTCAAGAATGAACGAGACTAGTGAGACAGGACACAAAGAGACACACCAAAAACGACCAGAAGGGCAGGCAGCCCAGCCCGCCCACTAACAGAACTACCGATAGCCTCCAAAAAAACACCCTCCAAGATCCCTCCAAGATCCACCCAAGACCCCCCCCCCCAATATCACCCCAGATGCCCCAAGATTGCCCCAAGATTCCCCCAAGATCCACCCAAGATCCTTCCAAGATCACCCCAAGACTATGCCCCCAAGACCCCCCAAGAACCCCCCAAGATCCCCCGAAGATCCCCCCAACATCCCCAAGAGCCCCCCAAAATTCCCCCAAGATCACCGCCAGATGACATGCAAGGATTTAGCCCGAAGGCCTCCCGCGACAACGCCGCCCCCTGGACCCCCCCATGATCCCAGGCTCACTCCGAGAGGTACTAAACAAAGCTCCCACCGAAAAGCTTTCGTGACAAATTCGGCATGGAGTAAAAGCGAAATCGCTTTGTACTTCCAGGCTCACACCTCACACTGAATTGTCGGAGAGCCATGGTGCAACAATACACAGCACTGAATGGTGAAGTTAATGCAAATCTTGACAGCGTTGCAGGGTCTATTGCGTTCAGGGTTTTTTTCAAAAAATCTAGCAATGCACTACCTTGGCACCCACGAGTACTCAAGTGCACGTATACCTCCGAGAAGCCACCCACGTGAACCCTCAACCCAAAACCAAGCGCCCCTCAGTCTGCGGTTGACCTTGCCGGTGACCTCCTGGCCCTCCTGGCTTGGTGTGCTGGAACCCAGAACAAAGGCACTGCAAAGATAACCCTCCTTGTTGACTTCTGGGCCCTTACTCCAGATCCAGAGGCCTAGATACCGAAATTCCAGGCCTTACACCCTACATGCAAGAAGCTCCTCGAAGTCGGCTGCCAGCGGACGCGTGGAGACCGCAAGCCGCTGGCGTGTGGCATCCACCTGGCAGCTAGCCCAAAGGCGGCTGGTTACCAAGGATCTGGCGTCGTTTGCGGGAAATCCACCCAATATAGACAATGTGTATGGCAACTGCTACTCAAATGAAGTTATATGTTGTCATCATCGTCATCAATTCGGCATCATCAAAAGCATCATCATTATTAGCAGCATCATCATCACATCAACATGAGATGGCGGGCGTAATTCTTGCAACTACGTCAGTGGCTGCTGCTACCTCCTCATCCTCCCGCTATGACGAGTGCTACTGGGCTTGCTGCTACTCTGCTAGTAACTATTCAGCTTCTCAGTAATGATTCTTGGCTGAAACGACCAGATCACGGTCTGCGCTTCAACTGGGTTGCTGTTAAGGAAACTCAAACTACGTTACCACAATGGGTATATATAGTAATCTATAGGGTTTTCCCAATGTAATACAAGTAACTTAAATTAAGTTCCTTGACAGCAACCCAGTTAACCTCTGTTCATCATCGCCGGCACATGCGATGGGATTTCCTTGAGTATGCAGGGCATATGTTTGAAATCCTTTGTAACACAGCCCGTGTGTTATCAACTCCTCCTGCCGGCAGCAGCAGTTTGAGACAAACCACAAGAAATATGGATATCTATACGTCTATACATATATATATCTCTTTGTTTCATAGCCCGTATATCTCTCTTCTTCTTCTATCATATATCTCTTCTTCTTTTACAGGCTATACGACACCCGAAGGTGTCGCGGAGGCGAACCTCCAGCCCCACGGTCACAGGTCGGTAGCTGGGATGAGTGCTGCGTACGTTGGATCGTAGAACATAATTAGCCCCCCCCATTTTCTTCTACCCCCCCATTTCAACCTCTATCCAGTACGCATCTCTTTCCCGGGAAAATAGTCTGGTAGCGAGCCGAGGAAAGGTTGGTACATGGTGATTTGTTCCTCCTTCCCTATCAAATCCTACGATCTCCATGTACCCCTTGCATCTCACTGCTCTGAAGAAATGTGTTTTTGTCCCCAAATGGTTGGACATCTCCTTTGTGCATAACTCCAACATCGCCGCTTGTTGTACAATTTGGGCGTTCAATGCCTCGAATTTTCCTACCTCTTTACTTCTTCCCTACTCCCCTCCCCTAATTGGTGCGTGCTGAGATTTCCTGCATCAATTGTGCGTTGCCGTCTTCGGCCTCTAATTTCCCGCAACCTGCAACAGCGACTCCCTTAATCCCAAGCCCTGGCTCAACACCCAAATCCCCACTTCCCTGTCTCTGCTGCAGGCTTGCGAATTGGCATGGTCACGGTTGGTTGTCTCAGAAGGCCACTCTCCCTCCGGCTATTGCGTCGGGATCATGGCAGCATGCCAAGTTCCCTTTTCTCACATACATCACTGTCACTGTGTTGCGCGGTATCTCCATCAGTCAATTGAAAACATGTTGTTCGTTGTCCATAATGGTCTCGGTTTGTATCGCTTCTCTCGCCTGTAGTGGTTTACTCCTCCGTCTGTTGTCTCTGGCGTTGTCTCTTGCAACGACTCTTTCAGAACTTCCTGGAATCCCCATTCCGTCAGCTGGCTCGCTATACATTGCGCCGTGGCACCTTGCCCGATATGCAAATCCATCTTTTGCATCTCCCTCGCCAGTCGCGCAGTGTCTGCTTCCAGGTCAGGCTGTCTTCCTTCCCAGAACTGCCTTGTTTCCTCATCTTCTTTCATCCACATTGTTAGATATGCAAGCTGGTCGAGTTTGAGCTGCGCTTGTTTCCCATCAAGTTGGGTTTTTGATCCAGTTACATTCCACTTATTCGGCATCTGGGGCTCTGCCGGTCTGGTATTTTTGTGCCAAGCTTCAGAGGGTTGCGCTGGTTGTTGCCGTGGTTCTGCTCCTGCCGCCTGTTCCTGCTTTTCCTCTTCCATTTCTTTCGCGGTACTTCCATCGCCAATCGGCGACTCATCTCTCGGTAGCAGGGGAGTTAGCGGTTGGTTTTGCTGCATCCTCGGCTGGTCTTTCTCCTCTGTCGACCCTGCAGTGTCTAACCTTTCTCTGTTTTCCTTCGGGTTGTTGGGTTTTTCCTTGAATTCTTTTGTCCCTTGCCTTTCCTTAATGTCTTTCCCAGTCTCGCTGAGCCGCTCGAGCCTGGCTTTCTCGAGTCTGGCCACCGCCACCTCATCAATTTTGCTTTCATCCACTCTGGCGCTGGCTGGAGGTGGCACCCTCCTCTTTTCTTCCTTTCTTGCAGTTTCCTGCGTATGCTTTTGCTATGTATTCCCACACTGGGCGTACTTGATGTCGCGGTTCTCCTCGCTGGTGTGCGTCTCGGCAGTCTCCCTCTTTGCTTGTTTTTGACCTGTTGTCCTTCCCAGAATTTCGTCCACCATGTCTGGAGACTCTTCTTGTTCCGTTGTTGTTGGCTGCGTCCCAATTTCCTTTCCTTTCCCAGTTGTAGTCGCTGGCGGGGCAGGCTTTTTCTCTTCCTTCTGTGGCTCTGGCTGTCTGGGCATTTGCTCTTGCTGGACTCTTTTCCGCTTTGTCGTGATTCTCCTCGGCAGGGAGCTTGTCGTGCTGCTCGAGCTGCTGGATGACTGCTCGGTTCCCCGTCGATATATCTCTCTCTCTCTCTCTCTACAAACACACACCTTTCGCATATTGCGCCCATGCCTACTTGATGCCGTGTGGACAGGACATGCGACTTAATCGCTGAGGGCATCTTGAAACGTGCAGCTTCAAACCAACTCCCTCAGATGTTCGTGCATCATTCAACTTGCGGCCAAGAATCTCCATTTCCAGAGAATTCAGATTGTATATCATTTGATTTTTAGACCAACTGGGTGCATAGCACATAAATCCTTAATCTGTCCGAGCCTGCAACTACACAACTCCTCCCACATGTCCCTTCCCCCTCTGACCTCCACCACGCGTAGGCCTGCATCCAGCTGTGAGGCCCCAGGCATGGGGTTAGGTAGCGTTCGTAGGTCTGGGTAGTGAAGGCCAGTGTAAATTGGCTGTCAGATGTCCGTGGGAGACAGTTGTTGCTTGCTCGAGTTCTGGAGCCTCCAAAATCTTGGGGAAGTACCGAGCCATATCCTTCTCCACCCAATGCATGGACTCAATGCGTATGATTTCATGTTCTGAAAGATCCACAGGATAAAAACACACCAAAAAGAGCGCCAAATTCGGCGAGCAACCGCAAACTTCAACACGATCCTCCAAAACTATTCTAACAACCCTCCTGAGCTTTTGCTTGGTGGTCAGCCTTCCAGTTCGTCGCCAACCTTGTAGTCACCCAGCGGCTTGTCCAGCTGCGAAATAGCCTCTGCATTGCAGGGGCCTAATGCTCAAGTGGCAGGCACAAGAAGAACAGCCAACGTGCAGTTCTTGCATGATGACCAGGCTCGTTAGCAGTCGCTGCAAGTGGGAAGGCACTTGAGAGACGCCTGGACGAATGCACATGCCCGGCTAAGGCTGCCACGTACAACGCATCCCTCTCAGCACCGATATCGACGAAAACGCCTTAGTTGCAAGCAGCAATGAGCTCAGGGCTGGTTTGTGCCTGCAACACCTGGAGATTCCCCTTCCCTTCTTAAAGACTTTGACGCCCTGCCATCCTGCCCAGGCTCCGAAGGCCATGGTCTTTGCCACTTTGCCTGAAACTTCCTGGCCGACCTCTCGCGCAAAGTACACGAGCAAAAACCATGCGACACAACCTTCTTCAAGATGGCACTTCACAGCTCAAATTTGCCCAGCAGGCATGTCTATCCATGTAAATAAGGCTGCGATGGCATGGAAAACTTCCCTGGCCTCCATGTTCTCCATGGATAAGCCTGGACTTTTTTGGGAAGCAGGGCTAGATGGCTAAGAGACATCAGACAGCAACGTCACTGGCAAGGCAGCTGACAGCTGACAAATGATTTCCTAATCGTCAGCTGCATCGCCGGGAGCTTCTTGGGTGTGGGCTGGTTTTAAGCAGTTCGGCACCAGGCATTGCGACCTGCTGCAGTGGAGCATGAGCGCAGGGATGCACCGGAGGACAGGCACCGAGCTGCCCTATTGGTGCCTCGAGGGTTTGCGTCTGCACATCCAGGCGAGTGATGATGAGGCCACTGACCTGCGAACAATCGCTTGCTCAGCGTAGCAGGATCAAGAACACACGTGGAAGACTTTTCTGACAATTCTTTGGTGAGTAACCCATACACCCACCTGGGGATGGCTCTGTGTTAAGTACTACTGACATACTGCACAGATCCTGACAGGCAAAAACAAAACGGTCAGTTCATATGGAGCTCTATTGCCATAACCTTGAAAAAAGAGATGGCTGCCGGGATGGCCGAAGCTTTACGCAACATCCCTTAACAATGGAAAACTTAAGATGCCATCACAGCCTCCTCGCCCTGCGCGTACTCCTAGCATCTTGCGAAGCACCGCATGAATGTGTGAAGAAGAAGCTAGCAGAGAATCACAGTTCTGCTGACTTCACTTCGCAGATCGCAGTATGGCCAAACAACAAACAGGTCCATCCTTGGCATCCTTCGGCAAGACGGTGGCGCCCGGACCCTTTGTACGCCACAGCGCTTCCTGCAACCAAGAAAGCTTGCGAATACAACTGCGAAAGTCTTTCCACTGATTCCCAGTTCGGAACCAAACCCTAAAGTGCTGCTGGCGCTCCCGGGAAGCTCCGACATCCAGGAAGATGCCCAAGCCCTCCGTGTAGCGGACCACCTGCGTCAAGTTCTATTTGACAAGTCTGCAGCATTGGCTTGATGTACTTCTGGTAACAGGGCGTCATCTACGAAAATGCTCTGTCAAAACATGTCAGAACCGAACACAGATGAAACATCCGACAGCAATGTTTCTAGTGCAACAACTCTGCGCCCAACCTTGCCAGAGACCTCCTGACCACGGACAAAGCTCCCGATGGGCTTGCCGACGTCCTGTGAAGCGAGGACCAAGCAAGGTGCTGCTCCTTGCCCGTTGCGTGTCAAAGCTGCGGAGACTCGGGGAGAAAGGCAGACCTCATCTCAATTAGTGGTATGCGATGCTCTTGAGCGCCGCGCACCCAAAACTTGACGACTACACAAGCAATCTGCAAAATACTATACCAGTGGCTGGTTTCTACCGGCAAGGCTTGCACCGAGACGTTCAAGCCCTAAGCTATGCCGTGTGCAAGCTTCCTACAGGCCACCTACAGCTACAGCCCCGTTCGAATTGCCTGTGAACCTCTTGAAGGCCCCCAGCCATCGCCTTCTTGTCAGACACGGTGACTCGGTCTCCGTCAACTTGCATGATCGTTAGGTCAGCGACCTTTGCCGAGAACGGCTGATGTCGCCGCGCAAGGAAAGGATATCTAAAAGCTAGATCATTTGCCAGAACTCAAAACTTCCGTGTCAAACCCACGGTAAGTACTCGGTCGCTGGCCTCGCCACGTGAGTACTCCTCCTTTGGCTTGCCTTAAATGAATCTTTCTGCGGCTTCGCAGGATGAATGGCAAAGTCTTGCCCATCACAGGATGCTCTTCCGGGAAAGAGGCCACATCAGGTTGACTTGAGAGGCTTGAAAAAGGATGCTGCACAACTTGTACTAAGCTCCAAGTGACCGCGGAATCTGTACCCTGGGAACCAGCAAACTCTGCCATTTGCAGCCCTGACTGCAAACAAGCCACTTGAGTCCTGGCTGCTGAAACCCCCCAGCTGAGGGCCCCACTGAGAAAGTTGGTCGGGCAAAGCAAGTCCCTGGAGAAGCCGGCATCGAAGAAGACACCAGCCTGCTGTAAGGAAAATCAAAGCTCAATGCCTTCTGCATCCTATACACCAAATCGCATGCTCCTGTTCAGGTAGCCCTAGAACTTCCACAGCATCAAGCTGACACAAAAGATTTAAAGCAAGTGGCCGGAATCTGGGTCACCACAGTGCCCTCAACAGTGTCACCCACCTTGGCTTCGGACCTGAACCAAAAGATTCAGACAAATGACAAATGAAAGCAACAAAGTTGCGCTCAACTGACGAGGCTTGCACGCCAGAGGCCGAGTGGTGACTTCAACCTGCTCCTTGCCCACGTCCACATTCAGCACCTGAGAACTGCATCTTTGCAGAAGGTGTCACGGGCCACATGTCAGAAGGGAATGCCTGCCTTGACGTCGATCTTGCCGCCCTCCTGAGCATGTTTCAGACAGGCATCGAGCAAATCAAAGCTCTTGATTGACGTTGGTCAGAGGGGATTTTCAGAGCGGTTTAGACCGATTGGCTATGTGGTTTGGCCAGCTTCTCGCCCGGCTACGTTCCTGAGTGTGGCTTAAATGACCAATGACACCATGGAAAGGCAAGTACATTTACAGAAGAAAGCTGCCAGGGGGCCTGGTAGTCAGCAACGGGCTTGTCCAGCTGGGTATTCGTGCAAAGGGCATCGACGCCGATTCCAATGTTGATGAACAGCCCGTACCTGAAAACTTACAAACTTGAAGGAGCCTTCAGGGTTGTCATCGTAAGGCTTCATGGCAGGGGCATCAAACTGTGGTGCTCCACTAGTTTGCAGAAAAGAGCTGAGCTTCCAGGCGACAGCCCGAGTACCAAGATTCCCCAACAACAGCCACATTTGATAGCATCCTGGCTTTCAAATTGACAATCCTAAGCATGCAGCTCAGCAGGGGCACTTCTCGTTCACTCTGACGATGGTACCTCTCACACACACAGCGTATGAAAACTTGACCACGTGGAAGAAAAGTCACCTTGCAGCTCTACGCCGGCCTTCAATAGCCTGCCCGATTTTGAGTGCTGCAAGAGCCTGGCAGGCCGCAGGCCGCAAAGACCGCCAATGGCTCCTAAGGACACTCTAAAGTCTATATAACCCCAATGTACTATAGTAGTTGGTGCACGGTTCATATTCCGCCGTGGTACAAACCCTACACGGGGTGTATGGGGGAGGTTTCTTCAGTGCGGTGGGAATTCCGTTCGTGTTCCAAGAGCATACGCTAGCCAGTGCATCCATGCCCCAACCATAATTCCGCTCGTGTTCCAAGAGCTTACGGTCACCAGAGCATCCATGCCCAAATTATAATAACGTTCGCGTTCCAAGCGCATACACTAATGAGTGCGTCCATGCCCAAGTCATGATTCCGCTCGTGTTCCAAGAGCACACGCTAACCAGTGCATCCATGCCCAAACCATAATTCCGCTCGTGTTCCAAGAGCGTACGATAATCCGTGCATCCATGCCCACACCATATTCGTGTTCCAAGAGGAAAAGGTCACCAGAGCATCCATGCCCAAACCATAATTCCGTTCTTGTTCCAGGAGCAACTTGCGTTCGTGTTCCAAGAACATACGGTCACCGGAGCATCCTTGCCCAAATCATAATAATAACGTTCGTGTTCCAAGAGCATACGCTAACCAGTGCATCCATTCCCAAACCATATAAAAACCTTCGTGTTCCAAGAGCAAACGGTCACCAGAGCATCCATGCCCAAACCACATAATAACGTTCGTGCTCCAAGAGCATGCGGTCACCAGTGCATCCATGTCCGAACCATGATTCCGGTCGTGTTCCAAGATCATACACTAACCAGCGCATCCATGCCCAAACCATAATTCCATTCTTGTTAGAAGAGCATAGGCTAACCAGTGCATCCATGCCCAAACCATAACTCCGCTCGTGCTCCAAGAGCTTAAGGTCACCAGAGCATCCATGCCCAAACCATATTTCTGTTCGTGTTCTAAGAGCATTCGCTAACCAGTGCATCCATGCCCAAACCACAGCAGTCTGCGAGCACAGCGAAACACTCC